TGGGGTGGAAGTGCATAGTGTGCTTGCTGAGGCGGAAGTACATAGTGTACACAATGCGCTCGCCAGCGAAGTACGCAGTGTGTCCACTTGGGGAAGTATCTAGTGCGCTGGCGAGGGGGAAATATGTGGTGGGGTGGAAGTGCATAGTGTGCTTGCTGAGGCGGAAGTACATAGTGTACACAATGCGCTCGCCAGCGAAGCACGCAGTGTGTCCGTCCACTAGGGGAAGTATCTAGTGTGCTGGCCAGGGGGAAATACGTGGTGTGCTTGCCGGGGTGCAAATACGTAGTGCTTACCAGGCAAAGTACATAGTATGTTTGCTGGGGTGGAAGTACGTTGTGTGTTAGCGGGGGCATGTATGTAGTGGGCATACTGAGTGTGCTTGCCAGCGAAAGTTGACCTGTAAGTTCTGTAACCATGATAAGTACACCATTTTTAGGTCTGTTGAAATACAGGCCTGAGTTCGAATCCAGATGAAATCTGATGAGTAAAATAACTCTGAATAAGGACACCATTTAATGGCCTACACAGCTCCATGGCACAGAAGGAGATGAGCTCCTAGCCTTTTCTATACTGATATCCTCTCTTCTCCCTTATCTGTGGGAACCCTCTCAAGTAGTACCTTGCTCTCAAGTAGTACCTCGCTCTCAAGCAGTACCTTGATCTCAAGTAGTACCTGGTAAGCAGCAGTTCCCATGAATACAGTCGTGAGTTCTATCGTCGGGGGATGTTTTAGATCTTGATGTTTGACATCTTCAGGACTGACCAAAGTACCTATGAACTGTTGAAATACAGGCCTGAGTTCGAATCGAGATGCAAGCTGATGAGCAACATAACTCTGAATTTACCTGGGGCCGGTCAGTTCCAAGATGAAATTTCAAGGCCTTTGCCCTTTTAGGAAAAAAGAAAGGATTCTTCAAGACTCTTGCATGTACTGAATATTGTGCAAGGGAGTCGGGATATGGCCACAATGTAGCACGAGCCATCCACCTAGGGGCGTAGAGGAAATGGAGTGGTACCATTGGTACCTGTAAAGAGCCAATGCAAGTAGAATGCGAGGCGAAAGAAAATGACGGAAACTTCGCAACATAGGGCTCCGCTCCACAACTGACCATGTGGACAAAAGGCAAAAAAAAGTTATGGCAGTGTATCTTTGCATGTTCCTGCGGAAGATTCATTCTCATTTTGTCACATTTGTGAGCAGTGGAGCGAGGCTCTTCGGTACAGGAGGAAAAAGAAGCTGAATGATGACGACTGTATGTATGTGTCTCGCAGTCTAAAGAAGTCCCTTGCTGCTGTTGGTTGCATTGTTCAGGTGAAGCACACAAGGCTAGCAGGGCAACGGGGAAAGGGGAACTGGGTGGGAGAGGACGGTAGTGGTTATGGGTGTTCTGCTGCACAACTGTGGGTTGCTGATTAAGAGCGGAGTAAGGATACATAGCATCAGTGGCGGTGGAATTGGCCACGTAAATTGGGGAGCATCGCTGAAGGAGAGGAAGGAAATAGCGCCTTCCACCTCTGATTTAGTGCTGAGCAAGAGAGGACGGGACCGGTCGTCCTCTGCGTTGTCTTCTAGCGTGCACAAAGACAGTCTTGCTGTCTGTCAGTGAGGTCGAAAAGAGGGGGGAGGGGGAAGGAAGAAGGGTCTTTCTTCTGCGCTCTCGGAAAAACAGACAGACAGCCAAACAGTCAATCTGGTGGCCTTTTCTGTCCACTGCTGCGCGAAGAAGACAAGATGATCAAGGCTGTGTTGATTGTAAACAATCACGGCAAACCGCGACTGACAAAATTTTATGAGCGTATATCCCCGGAGAAGCAGCAGGAGGTCATACGTGCTTCGTTCTTAGTTTTGTCCCAACGACCGCCGAATGTTTGTGGGTTTGTGGAAGATGATGCAGTGTTCGGAAAGAACATTAAGATAGTATATCGCCACTTCGCAACACTCTACTTCATCTTCCTGGTCGATAAGTCGGAGAGTGAGCTTGGAATACTGGATCTTATCCAAGTGTTTGTGGGCACGCTTGATAAGTGCTTTGAGAATGTCTGTGAATTGGACTTGACATTCAACCTAAACAAGGTTCACACGATTCTCAACGAGATTGTTATGGGAGGGCAGGTGCTCGAGACAAACTCTGTGGAAATATCCAAAGCGCTCGAGGATATTAACCGACTGGAACGGATGCCAGAACCATTACCGACACAGTTGAAAGGACCAATAAGGCGATAGCAACAACAAACAGCAAACAGTCAGTTCACATTCATTTGCAAGAGGAAGGGAGGGTGGGGGAGCGGATGTGCGGCAGTGTGTTGGGGGGGGAGGGGGGTGGGGAGGAGGAAGAAGCCCATTCTCCATTCTTCGACCTTTAAGACAACAAGGAGGGAGGATAGCGGCACCTGAAGTGTGGTACGTGAAGAAAATGGAAGCGAGTGAAGAAGTGGTGTGATTTGCATTGTGATGAGGGAATGACCGACCAGTGATGTGTGCTGGCAGAGGGAAGAGACTCGCTGTACCTTGCTGGGTGCCAGAGGCTCGAGATGGTCTGCAGTGGTGATCAGTGATCGTGTTTAGCATCGGTTCATGACTGCTGGACTGCTCATGCCTGAATTGGCTTCACTGGCTGCCACGTGGTTTTGTGCCTGCCCTTCTGGCTATGGTCACAGGACGCTTCGTCATTACTTTTTGGTGTGTGGATTCATTCGGCACGTGGCTGATTGATTCTTCGTTCTAGCATCCATTCATGGTTTATGGCCCTCCGGTTCGAACTACACTGCCAAGCCCCCCTGCCGTTGCCAACTCCTTGACTCCTTATCTGTGCTGTGAAAGGCAGAACTGGTGAGTGTCGGCCGCCTTACACGACTCGCATTGCTTCATGCATCTAATGTCAATGTACAAAGTTCTGATTTATAAACAAATGTCTCTCCTGATTTGATGGATTGCAGTCTGGAGAACCTCCGACCTTCTGAAACAGAAAGCAGAAACAGGGGAAAAGAAAAGAAACCACCTTGCTGTCTGGAGAGACCCCATCCTAGTGTTCCTTTTCCAGCTTTCCCCTGCCCCCCAAATCACCTGTAAGCATGTGCAAGGTGTCTTTTATACCCACCCCCTTCCCCCCCCTGTCTTCCTTTCCACTAGATGTTGTGCACAGTGTGTTGCTACGGCTTTTGACGCTCTCCCTTTTCCCCTCTTTCCGCATAAAGTATGCTGCAACCCCTCTCTGGCTGCAAAGCACGATACAGCTTCCCGAGTGGACCCTTCTTTCTCCCCTTGTGTAGAGCGTTGTGCAATGCATCTTCCAACCCCGCCTCCTCCCTAGCATCATGAGTGCAAATTATCTCGTGCCACATCCCTCACTCCCCAGCAGCACTTTCCCCTTGCATGCGTGTAAAACATCTTCAAACCCCAATGGACTCTCTCCATCCGTCCACATGCATGTGTAAAACTGGCGGCACAGCCACCATGTTGAAAAGCATGAGACTGTATACAAGTGGACCCTGGGTAGGGCTGATCACATTGCTAGGCGAAAAGTCCGTCTGGTACTGGATCACTTTTCGCCTAGCAATGTGATCGGCACCAGGTCAACTCAGAGTCCATCCAAAGGTCACAAAAATGGGGCACCATTTTGATCCAGTACGAGACGGACCTGTCACTTGAAACCTGCCACCGTGAAAATTTTAGAGCTCGGTAATTTCTCTAGGAGACAATGCGCTCATGGCTTTAGACATCTTGTTGCCAAGCTCCACTCCCTCTGCCCCAAGCCCTTTCAAGCTTCCGTGATACACCTTCCCCCCTCCTCTGCCACTCCCCCTCATCCCATCAACCCCCCTTCGATCTTGTTCTCGACCTCTGCAGCTAGTTACTCAAAAGCAAAAATCACCCATGTCATCTTGTTCTACCTCCTCGTCCTTGCCGTTGTTCCTTCTCCTTCTCCTTCTTCTTCCCCTCCTCCTCCTCCTCCCCCTCCTTCTTCGGCTTCTTCGCCTTCGTTGCCTTCTTTGATGTCAAGGGCACTGTTGGTTTAAAACCGGCAGTGCACGACCCCAGCCTTGCCGAAGTTTCATCTCCTACTCTGAAAATTTTGCGCATCGGCCAAACGGACCACGATGGTTGGCGGTGCCAGCCAAAAACGGAAAAAAGTGTGCTGCTAGTGGTTCGGCAAAGCTTGGCGCGCAGTGGAGCACCTTCAAGGCCGAGAACCAATATCCATGCCTCGCTCGACACGATCACTTCAAGGGACCTCTAAAGCAGAAGGAAGTGCTATCTCTGTGGTTGTGGCAAGTCGCGATCCACATGTGGTGTGGAGGTATCCTATATGTGGTTTGCCGCATGCATTGACGTCTATATCTTGTATCGTCTTATCGTGAGCTAATCTGGAGGATAAGGAGATAGGTGTGGCCGAGTGATGATAACTCCTTCCAGAGTCTGTGACGTGACTTTATGTTGCGATTAGCCGATTCTGTCTTGTGTGATTTCCAACCTTGGAAGCTTTTCATCCTCCTTTTGTTGTGCGCGCCGCCCGACACTACTGAGTTTCAAACCTCCTGCAATGATTGATTCCACGGAATGTTTCCTTGTTCTTCAATCAGGGCATACTCACACTACGACTTTCTTGACTGAGCTCTGGGCGTGATTGCATTCAGATGCATTCAGGTGTGTAGACGTAATTGCAGTTAGATGCATGCATTTTGGAAATTGTGACTATCACACTGTGAGTATTATCCTTGATCAAAAGGCTTTGTATCATGTTGTAACTTGTTTGCACAAGTACACACTACAGTTTAAAATTTTGAATCATTCCGAATTAGACAGTCACAGGCGATCCCAGCATGATTGTCACTGTTCCTCGGTGATGTTATGGTCGTTGATTGCACTGTGATCGTCCTTGTGAAGAGTCTGAAGACATTGTGCTGTCATCCAGTCCGGAGATTCCATCATCTGGTGAAAAGGGAATGCCAACTCAGGCCGAAACAAGTGCGCACTTTACAATGCAGGAACGCCAAAATCGGGCCAAAACAAGCGCACTTCACAGTGCCACGTCTTGTGGTCCCCCCTCCCCCCCCAAAAAACACGGACATTCAGTATATAACCAGACTGAGGACAATGATTGAACACACAGAAGAGCACGCAGGAGCTCATGTATATGTTTTGATTGATGATCAAAGAACACCGAAGCTCGCAATCCTGCTGAAAAACCATGCAGCGTGATGTCATCCTTTGCCATGTACTGCAATACCACGTCTTGCAATGCCATTGCATGCCATCCATTACGCACCCCAATGTTGTTGTGCAATGTCCTCATGCCCCTCCCTCTGTTCTATCTATGCCTGGCCATGGAATCGCATCCCATAACATCATGTGGCACCATACCGCTCCATGCCATGCCAGTGTGCGTCATGCCGTGCCACGCACCCCCATCTAAATTTTGAGAACTCGCTTCTCTAAGGGAAGTGCTGCCCAAATTTTTGCTAAATCAGAGGAGTGACTTAATTCTCTGCTTCTAGTGCTGTCTGCTCTTACCAGCACCACTAGCACTGTAAGGGAGTTAAAAAAAAAAAAAAAAAAAAACTTAATTCTCTGCTTAGTCTTGCAACTTGCCTTACATCTATCTAACTTAGTAGAAATTCTGGGAGTCCAGTTTCCTAGGGGAAGTGTTGCCGAAATTTTTGCTCAATCCGAAGAGTTAAAAGTCCAACTACCGTGGTTGGCGAGTTTTATTTTAAATTTGACTTAGTAAAAATCTTGGGGGTCACTTCCTTCCTTAGGAGAAGTGCTGCCAAAAAAATTTTACTGAATCAAAAACGTTATACTCGGGTTTTCAGTTACGATCTTGATCATTAGACTATTCTGAATCTGGTCCAGTAAGAACTCTGGGGAGCCACTGTAAGTTTTTCCTGAAAGATAAATGCTACCCAGATTTCTACCAAACAAGGAGGGTTAGTCTACTTACCGGATACGTTTTGGTAGGAGCATGGGAAACCCACTTTCCTGAGACGTTTTGGGAAACAAGAGAAATCTGGGTAGCATTTATCGTGGAGGAAAGCATTGGAAAGCCACTTTCCTGATACGTTATGGGTCTGCAAGTCCAGTTTGGAAGGAGAGCGTTGGAAAGCCACTTTCCTGTTCCGCATGATTCCATTGCTGTGGGGCACCACGCAGTTGCTGGGCGTGGGCAGGGAGGCGTGCCTAACAGTCGAGCAACATATCTCCGGTTACGTTGAAGGTAACCGGAGATAGCCTTTGAGGCTCAAGCATACACAGACAAAATCTCGAAACAAGCGAAAACTGCCAAGAACACGTGCAGAACCAGCCTATGTGTTCGAAAAAACGGTCCAGCTGATAGGCAGTCGCCCGACACCGAGAAAACACCACACCGGTGTCATGCCATGGCACATCATACGATGTGAGGCCAGGCGAGGCCACATCCAACCATACCATGACATGCCATGCCAGGCCAGGGCACACTGTGACAGTACATGCCAGGGTTCCCCAGATGTGGCGTCGGACCGTCTCTTTATTGGTGTCTCATCCCATGCCATGATTTCCCGTCCTATGGCCTCCCCACACACATCTTACCCCTTGCTCCCTTTTTCCATGATGTCCATCCCTCTATCCTAGGCATTCTTCCGTACCCAAGATTTTTTTATTTTTATTTTTATTTTTTTATTTTATTTTTTTGAAAACAGGGCCTTAGGGTCCTGACTCCTATTCTGGGGAGCGTCAGTCCGGTTCCTTTTCCACCGGCAAGTCATAGAAAATTTTACATCAATGGAAACTCACACACGCTTCCTTCCGTCTGGCCGAAGGACCCCTGATCAGCATTGATTACTCCRTTGTGGTGGAGGATTGACTGTCAGCTTGCCCTATCCCTCTCTCTCCTCTCAGACCCGATGTTCAGATCTGTCAGATATCATCCTGGTATTTAGAAAGAGTCCCTCCAATACTCTAGTCAACCTGTTTCCTTTCTCACCGCCTTCCTGACCCTTTGGGTGTACTGTCGGCCAGCCTTAAACCCTAAACCCTCCGCCTGGGCGCCTGCCCTACAATGGACCGTTTAGGAAGTTGGCCGAGAATAGAAGTCTCTTCGTGACCTCCAACATTGTCCTCCTTTCTTTGCCGGTGCATCATTGTCCTTGCTTGGTACCTTACATCTTACAAAGTGATTAGGTCTTCAGACGTTGCCTGTTGTTGAGAGGCCCTTTCCGAAATTGAGTTGTGCCATCCCTTCCAGCAAAGCCGATCTTCTCGCAATTCTGCAATCTTGCCATTTACCAGCCAATCTTTGCAAAATCTCAGCCTCTCCTTCTTCCGCTGTTCTTCATCTTCTATCCCCCTTTGTTTAACCTTCCGCCATCTGCAAAGAATCTCAGCTTGAATCATTGTTCTGGTTTCTGTCCATGCCTTCTCCCTTGGATTGGAGTGTCCTCCAATTGTTCTGCTGCATCTCTCCTTCCATATGACCCAAAGGGTCACTTTCCTGATGAGTTAGAACCAGATCCTCTCTGCATTCCGTGCTTGGAAAGGGATGTTAGTTAAGAGGAGAAGTTGGATGGGGTGGTTGGGGAAGGGCGATGAGAAGAGGGATTCCCAGAGTGATAAGGCTCTCGTCCAGTATTCGGTTGCTTCTCTACATCGGACTAGGCAGTGAACAATATCTTCTACCGCTCCTTCATTGCAGATTGTACATAGCTCTGAACTATCTGGGTCTGAGGCTTTCCGTCTGGCGTGTAGCCATTGGTTTACCGGTAGTGCTACATAAACAATTAGCCATTGCAAACTTCTGATCTTTACTGGTCTGATGCGTTTAAATTTTTCCCAGTGGATTTGAGTGATTTTGTCTGCTTCCTGGCCTACTAAGTTCCTCCATCTGTTTTTGATGATCGGGTCAGGGTCTTTTGTTTTCAGAGTTAGTTTGTAACCAAGTTTAACTGT